CAGCAAGAGGAGATGAGGCTGAGAACAGGGCTATCACAGACAGTTTTTCTGGAAAAGCAGGCGGGAGCCAGCTTATGTCAGGCTGAGGTGACCTGATAACATTTGGGGTCTGTCTGATAAATATTGCTGCCCTGAATTCAGATTAGGCCAATCACTTCGAGTCAGTGTCAAGCTAGATAAAGCACTCTGGCTGTGGCCTACCCAAGTGGACGCTTCCTGCGGGAAGAGGACTTGGTACCCAGTACACCCCAGCCGCTTACAGTGGCCTGCATGAACCATGGTCACCCTACACCTGCTTTTGCATGAAGCACCTGATGCCCATTGGCACCTTGTTAGCTCTTCCAAGATCCAGCGTGGGCATCTTCTCAGGGGAGCCTTCCCTGAATAGCCTATGCTTCCTCTATCATAGCGTTTATCAGACTGTATGGATTATGTCTATCTGTCTTCTTCCTTAGGCTGTGAGCTCCTTGAGGGTGGGGACTGTGTCTTATTTAGTCATGTACCGGGCCCTTGGACATGTATAAGGCTTGATATACTAAAAACTCAATAAATGAATATCGCTCTTACTAATGATGATAACATCATCACTAATGATAATTACATTTGCTGCTTGTTGTGTCAAGTACCCCATGCTTATCTATATTTGTTCCAGCTGGAAAGCTCAATCCCATCCTAATTGCTCTTTCACCTTGTCCATCCAGGTCCAGTCTGTCCCAACACCTGCCCACCGTAGCTACTAAGTCTTCCTCAGACCTGCACTTTTGCCCATGGGCACTGCTTCTATCTTGGTCCAGGCAACATTATCTCAAAAAATTGACTGCAGCAGCCTCCCACTGGTCTCTCTGCCTCTAGTCTTGCCTTCCAATCCGTTTTCTATTCCTGTGGCCATAGTGACCAGTTCTAAAATGCAAATCTGATAACTGACATGCCCCAGGGTAAAGCTTTTCCATGGCTTACCTTTGCCCTTGGGCTCTCAAGGCCCTTCTCGAGCCTCTGCCTCTCTCTCTAACCTGATCTGTGGCCTCTCACTCCCACCCTCCCGCTCTCTCCTCCAACCTTTCTGGCCCACTTTCATCTCTGTGTCCCAGCCCAAGGACTGTCTGGGTAGGCACCAGGCGGGGCTGAGGGAGTCTGGCTGGTGGGTGGGGCTAGGAGAGTGCAGGGAGCCATAGGAAACAGCGTTGCTGAGGTTATAAACAGGACCTGAGAGATTTGGCCTCAGTGGCAGGTACCATGACGTTCAAGCCCTGATAGGTGCCTGGGGGCTGTTCATAGAATTCTGGAGTAAAAGAAATATCATGAGAAACAGACTGTTAGGGAAGCTTGGGGGTCAGTGCCCAGATCTGCTTTTTGTCTGTTTTACCTACCATTTAATTGAGCATCTAATATGTGTCAGGCACTAGGCGTATTCCATACATTATCTAATTTAATTCTATAATAACCCCAAGATATAGAGATTGTTATTAATCCCATTTAACAGATCTGGAAACAGAGGCCTGAAATGGCTGAGTAACTTGTCTAAACTCAGGCTGCAGATCCCATTTAAACCCTGGTCTATCTGACTCCAAAGCCAGGGTCTTTAGACTATATACACGTGTCCACTGAGTGAAGGGTTTGGAGGTGTATATGAGACCTGTCCAACTTTAATTCTTCTCTGTCTCTATATAAAGCCTAAAACAGGGTCAACTGTCTTCCTCAAACAAAAACTTCCCTTACTAGCAGTATTTCGCAGGCTAAACATGACAGCAAGGCCGTTAAGTCCAAAAGACCTCTGACAGAGGGCCCACTTGGCCCCCTGAGTTGAGAGAGAGATGTGGGCACAGGTAGGTGTGATGAAAGGTGGTGGTGGGGTGGGGAGAGGAAGCAGGGCAGGCCCAACGCAAGGGCAGGTATGGGAAGGCAACAGAGGACCAATGGGGGTAGAAGGGACGGGAGGGGATGTGAGGAACAAACGTTGCCTCCTTCTCCATGTCACTCAGGATAGGCTCCACTGGTTCCCTGAACCTTATCCACCCGCCTTGGAGCCCCTGAAAGTCTGGGTGCATGGGACCATTGACACATACTAGATGGTGGAATCTTAAAATGATGAAATCTTAGAACCACAAAATTGTACAAGTCTAGAAAGCTTCATGTTCTCATGAAATGTAGGCTCTTAGAAACACGGAATTTTGAAATCTTGAATCTTAGAAACTTAGAACCTTAGAGTCTTAGAATTTTGAAATCATGGGTTCATAAACTGCAGAAAATCTTTGAAGATCAAAGGGGGAACCCTCTCCCACACACACTTATTTTGCAGATGAGAAACTGAGGCTCAGAGAAGGGAAGAGCCTTCCTCAAAGCCACACAGTGAATTTGTGGCATAAGGAGCTAGAGTTCCTTCCACCAGCCATGTGCAAGGATTGGGGCCCGTGCCAGAACTGCAGGGACAGAGGCAGAGGCCATCCGCCCCCTGCCTGGCAGTTCTTCCTCTGGCCTGATTTTGGCATGGCCTCGGGCACTCACCTCCTTAGGGGAAGAGGGCGCTCCAGGCAATGCCACCCTTCCTTGTGCCTCTCACCTAGGAGGGCGTGGTGAGGGAGACTGTGGTTTCAGGAGGCCTCCTGGGGTGGAGGGATGGCCTGCCAGGCCCCCCACACTCTCAACTGCTGGCAGGTCTGTTGGTGGGGGGAAGGGGCCTCTTGGCCTGGCCATGGGCTGAGGCATTCTCTCTGTCTTCATGCTCTGAGCAGGCGGGGAGGGGGAGGGGGTGCCAGTTGGCCCAGGGGCCAGGCTACACAGGGCTGTCCCAAGGAAGGTGGGACAGGGTTTCTTCAGCAACAGGGCTGAGACCTAAGGCCATGGGAGTGTTGCAATAGCACCACCACCCCACCACCCCACCCCCGCCCTGTGGGGGGAGGAGACTGAGGAAGAAAGACATTATTCAATCCTTGGAGAGTTGGGCTGGCTCTGACAAGCACCCCAGCTGGGACTGTGTGCTGCCCTCTCTGCCAGCCGAGGCTGAGATAAACACAGCTCATTTGATACGGGCCAGCCGGGGCCTTGCTGGGAACGGGATCTGCTATCTGGTCCCCACCTCTACTTTGGGGGCATCAGAGGGGGTGGGGAGGGAACTAAGCGTGTGTTCCTTGGTCCCCAGTGGTCAACGAAACACAGATTCTGAGGGCATCATAACCATGGCCTCAAACCTTTGTTCCGGGAGGCCAAGAGGCAAACAGGAGCCAGAAGGAGGCCAATTTCAGCTTCTGACAAAGGAAACTTTCTCAAAGCGGGGAATGGCCCTTGAGCTCCTCAGCTCTGGAGCTGTGTGCCTAGGGCTGTGCTCCAGCCCACCCCCCCAGCTCTGAGAGACAATTCCTGCGTTGTGTGTGTGCTCCCCCTAGAAGTGTACTGCTTTCAGTGCTCTGGGATTCCGTGAGTTTAAATGTCTATTCAAGACGATAATGTGCATCTCGCAGGGTCATTGTTATCATGGCTATCATCATAATAGCACTCAACACTAAGTTTCAGGAACTGGGCTAAGTAAGCACTTTACAAGCATCATCCAATTTAATTCTCAAAACAATGTTAACAAGATAATTAAGTAATGTATTTACAGAGCACATAGTCAATAAATGTTGGTGCCTTTCTCCATATTTCAATCTCATTTAATTCAACAAACCTTTGTGGACACTTCACTTATGCAGTGTCTCCCAGTTTCTTCCTAAAAGAGCTCAGATTTTTCTTTAGATAATGGAGAGTTTTCCTATAGGAATGACAGCACCATCCCTTCTGGGTGGTAAAGATCACCAGGTACCTGAGTGGAGAAGGGTCAGCAGGGATAGGGTGAGAGGAAGAGGGGTGGGGCCAGGGACTGCACGCTGGATCTGGAGTCTTGACCTACAGCTAGGCAGTGAGTGGATAAGAGGTGAGAACAGGTGTGTCCCAGAGAGCACCCAAAAGGCTGGGCGATTGGTTGGCTGTGGGAGGTGAGAAAGGTGGAGGTTTCAAGAAAGCAGGATTGCAGGAGTGATATCTAACCCACAAAACAAAACAAACAATTTCAATCATTCTTAGAAGTATTCATCTACATATTGACAACAGATATGCAGATTACAAAAACAATCAATTGATGTGTAATCACACATACAATAATCAATTGACTGTGTCATCACTATTGACTATTTTTAAGGATATTTAAAAGTCAGTTTTCTAACCTTTTGCTAGGCAGCACTTTGTTTTCCCAATTCAGGCACTTTCCATCATGGCTGAATGAGATATAGGGACATAATATAGTGTGAAAGCAGGAAAGCTGTTGTGAGTGGCTTGTTTCAAAAGGTAGGTTAAGGGCCGGCCGAGTGGCTCCGTTGGTAAGAACTTGCTCAAGAGTGTGAGCTCTGAGCAACAGCGGTTCGAGTCCCAGCCCGAGCTGAGCTGCCGCTGAGCTGCCAACAGGTGGCAGGATGGGTCAGCTAAAAAAAAAAAAAAAGAAGGTTAAAGAGAGAGAGAGAGAGAGAGAGAGAGAGAGAATGGAAAGGAACCGAGAGACCAAGGGAAGGGAGGGTACAGAGATGTAGTAAATAAATAAGCAAAATGTGACTAAGAAGAAGAATCAAGTGTGATTATGAAGGGCAGAAGAGCACTGGACTGTGAGTCAGGACACGGCTGTCACCCCTACTTGCTGTTTGACCTTAGAGGTATAATTTATCCTCTCTGGGCCTCAGATTATTCATCTAATCCTAATAACTAACATTTATCCCACAGTTTATATCTGTAAAGCCCTCTCAGTGCTTAAGGTTCAGCGCAGGGCAGTGACATGCCCAAAGTCACACAGCAAGTGAGTGGTCAAGCTGAGATTCACTCATTAGACATTTTGGCCCCCTAACTGGGAGAGCACATCCAGCGGAATCACTTCCGCCTGAGTGGTCCAGATGACATCCTTCCTAGAACCAGAAAGGAGGGATGAGACGTGGTGTTTGGGCTGGGGCATCCTGGGACTGACAAAGCACTGGTTGTTTTGCCAGGCCCAGATATGTTCTGCCTTTTCCACGGGAAGAGGTATTCCCCCGGCGAGAGCTGGCACCCCTACTTGGAGCCACAGGGCCTGATGTACTGCCTGCGCTGCACTTGCTCTGAGGTAGGTTCCTCTGACCATGTGGCCACCTGCATCAGGTATGCCAGGTATGTCTGGGAGAAGTCATCCGGAGGAGGGGAGGACAGCCTGACTCTAGAGGTCAGCAGCACTCTGGAACCAAGCCTCCTGGAATTATACTCTGTTAGCTAGAGTAGAGGGATTTGGGGCTGCGAGGATTCAATACCTACTACCACTACTGTGTACCTCTCAGAGGTAAGTCACACAACGGGTCAGTGGCCAGGCTGTGCTGGGGACGTAGGTCTCCCATCTCTCATCCCAGCCTTCTCGCCACCTGTGATGGTGCCAGCTCCTTGCCTCCCGTGCAGCAGAAGGCAGAGCCTTTCTGACCTGGCTTCCCAATCTTTCCTGTCCTCGTACTATTTCCTCCAGCCCTCTCTTGCCACCCTGCCTTAGGATGCAGTCCCCCAATTCCTCTGGCCCAAAGAGTTGTTCTTCAAGGTTTTGGCCAAATGCCACCTCCACCAGTAGCCTTACTCAGCCCCTCGCCTGCAAGTATTTTCTTCTTCTGGGATCCTACATACGTTTCTCCATCCCTTTCTCCTGATCACTGTTGGCCAACTATAATAGTTATCTGTGTCTGTCAGTTGCTGCACCTCCTAGATGGGTCTTCCTGGGTGCTCCCTCAGGCCCAGTTTGGTGTCTTGCCAAAGGCTGAACGAACTCGGGCAGAGACCATGCCTTTTTGTTCACCTCTGTCTCGTGCCACTCCACTCCCAGCCCGGCACCCTCCACAGGGCTTTGTACAATCACCTGGCTGGAATACATGAGAGCCCCATGTGGTCCCGAATTCTCAGGCCAGGGATGAGGTTGGGGAAGGGGGGTGGGGGAGGAGGGAGTGATTTAAGACGCTTGAAACACCCTGGGCTTTTTAGCTCAGCTGCCTGAGGCTGATCCTGGTTGGCATGACATCCTCAGCTCTCTCTATCTGGGTGCTGGTGCTTGGGGGGTGGGGGTACTTACCTCCCAACTGGAACCAGGGTCTTAAGCCCCCTCTTTGGACAAAGCCAAGAGAGGGATGCAGGCCAGTAAGAGCCTCCCTTGTTACAACAATCCTCAGCTCGAGGGGAGCAGAAAAGAGCTTCTGAGGGAACACTGGGAGGTGGAGGGGGCATGGGTCACCCCTCTCCTGACTCTGACCACTGGGTTCTCCCTCCTCCTGGGACCTTTCCCTCTGATTCCACACTGCTTCTACCATGTTGGCCCCAGGTAGAACTCTGATGCCAGGACACAACCCTCATGACCGCATTCCCTTGGTTTTCCTTAGCACATCTGAGGCCAATCCGCTTTTCAAAAAGAACGTTATGAAATATAGCCAGAGAACAGGAAGGAAACCATAACAGAAAAATTCCAGACATATCATGTGGTCCAGTTGACCAAGTCCAAGTTTTGCGATCCACTGGAGCTAATTCATTTCTCTCTCCCGAGTTCACACATACAGTTTCCTCAACCCAAAGTGGTAAAGCCGATACCCCAGCACCCCCAAAACATACCTTGAATATCCCACTTCTCTCACCATCACTGCTCCCCTAATCTAAGCCACCTTCATCTCTCACCTGGATGCTACTTGAGCCTCCCAACAAGCCTCCCTGTCCCCTCTCTAAATCCATCTTTCGCACCGCAGCTAGAGGGAACTTTTCTGAACGTAAAACTGATCGTGCCATTCTGGAAGCTCTTAGAACCCTCCAATAGTTTTTCATTGCACCTATAGTAAAATTCAGACTCCCTGCTGTGGCTCTGCGTGACCTGACTTCTGCCTTATCCTCCAACCTCATCTCCTACCTGCGCCAGTACATCAAAATCATTCAAACCTGTTGTTCCTCTACCTGGAAGGTTCTCCCCCTGGATCTTCTCACAAATGGTTCCTCTCATCTCGCAGCTCATAACAGAAATGTTACCTCCTTATGGGGCTTTCTCTGACCACTCTTCCTAAAATAGCCTAACCTTGTTAACTCAGTCACATTACCCTGTTTGACCATTAGCATACATTTCACATCTGAAATGGTCTTGTTCCTACATGTTTATTTTTTATGGTCTGTCCCCCCAGGCTAGGATGTAAGCTCCGTGAGAGCAGACACCTTGTCAGTCTCACTCACTGCCATGTCCCTGGCACCCACTAGTCATATAGTTAATACTGAGTGACTGCATGAGGCCCTGCCCAGCCCACCAGAGGCAGCTCAGCATCATGGAAAGTGCACAGCCCTGGAGGTAGTGCGTACCTGCTGTGTCATCATAGGCAACTTGACCTCTCACAGGCTCTTTTCTCATTTCGAAAGTGTGGATAATAGTATCTACCTCTAGGGTTGTTGAGGAGACAAAGTGAGATAATACACTTCTATTTCACATAAAAAGCCCCCAGCGAGTCGCCATGCAATGCATGGTGGTTATGACTTTCCCGAGAGGTCCCCAGTGGCTGCAAGGCCCCCTGCCCTTTCAACCCTTAGCCTGTCTCCATCTTATTTTCTACTGTGTGTCACTGGTTATCTTTATCCCTGGGTTCCTTCAAGGCCAAGAATCAAGAGATTCTAACTCTTCAGGCCAACAGTTCCTCTCACTTCACCCTACTTTCTTATCTGAGTGCTCAGTTCATCCTCTGGACATTTATTTAGTACCCATATGTGCCAGGCCTCTAGAAGGCCCCTTTCGGATCTCAGACCAATTTTGTGGACTCTGTGGTGCCCCGTAACACTTATTAATCCTTATGGCCACCTCTGGCCATCTTGGGAAGCAGTGACTCCAGAGGGAGTAGGACTTGGTTCATGGTTTTCCATGGGGCAAGAGTCTGCCACTGGAGAAGTGCTGTCAGGGCATTCAGGTGGACAAGGAGGCTGGAAACTCGCCAGCTTCAAAGTTTGAGCAAAGCTGCCTCCATTTGTCTAAGAGAGAGACCATCTCTCCCTCCTCTCCTGGTTCTCATTCATTCACTCGGTCATTCATTCAAACTGTAGTGGGCACTAGCTTGGAGCCAGGCCCTGTGCTGACGATTCAGAGATGAATAGAATGAGGCTTGGTGCTTGTTCTTGGAACGTGTGGTAGAATAGATGAGACAGCAGTAAATGGTTCATTTACAGCACCGGGCAACGACCCTTAGAACAAAGGGGAGAATGAGGTGTCGAAGTTTAGGACAGGTTGACAAACTGCCAAAACGGGTGGTGGCCTCTCTGGGTCGGCTCCTCATCTCTCTGTGTATGACTCCCTGCTCCCTTCTCTGTCATTTGCTCTACTTGAAAAAACACAAGAACTCTGGGCCTCTCCTTCTCTGGTGCCAACTCCAAGGGCCCAGAGATTTAGGGAGTGGATCACGAAACGCCGAGTCTTCTCCACATCCAGTTTCTAGTCTCGTTCCCATCCCTGTCACCTACCCTCATGTGTCACATACCTCTTTTAACCATGAAGCCCAGGCCCAGAGGTCAAAGGACAAAGCCCCGGAGTTAAAATAACACAATCAAGAGCAATGTTGAAATAAAAAACTCAAGGCTTTTGCTTATATGTCTCAAACACCATGAAGGGGACACACAAGAGCTGTGCCAACCCATGCACACTGTGCCCTCCTCCGTGGTAGGGGAGGGTCCAGGATGGGTGAGCCACACAAGTGAGCAGGGGAAGAGGAGAGACTGGACACCTGAATTTGTTGTTTTTAGCCCATCACAGGCTGAGAACGAGTGCAGTGTCCCCAGTTGGGATGGGGTTTTGGGGGAAGACGGGTTCAGGTGGGAGGCAATGGCTGTTTGGAACCAGGACTGACACCTGTGTCCCGTTCAGAGTGCCCATGTGAATTGTTACCGCCTGCACTGCCCGCCTGTCCACTGCCCGCAGCCTGTGACTGAGCCCCAGCAGTGCTGTCCTCGGTGTGTGGGTAAGTAGCCTCACTCCTCTCCTTGTCCCGCTGACCCTGATTCCATTCCTGAGGCAGGCCTGTGGGCGGGGGAGGAGCCCCTGGAGTGAGTGGGGGCAGTCTCTAGCCATCAGAGGTGTTGAGACACAAAAGTCCTCCAGGGAAGAGACATCCTGGATCCCCAAGGAGGGCTGGGGTAAAAACACATTTCTCATTCTTAAGTAGCTATGCTTGGCGGAAGGAGAGAGAAAACGTGGAGAGTAGCTGAAGGAAACAGGGGCATGCTTGGCCTGTTGACGGCACTCTTGGGCCCCCGGCTCTCTCTGGCTGCCCAGAGCCAGGGGGAGTGGACATGCCTGTGTAAGTGGAGATGAGTAGGCCAGGGCTGGGAGACCCTGCAGGAGATCCCAGGACTACTGCCCTGGGGCTAGGGGCTGAAGGAGTTGAAGTACTTGTACTGTGAGATTCCTCTCTGTGCAGAGACTCGGACTCTGTGTGTCCTGTTGCTAAATGTCTAGGATTCCATGATTTTAAGATTCTAAGAACCTCTAAGACTGGGATTCTAGGAAGTCAAGGTAAGAGACAGGGAGGAGAGGAGAGGTGGTCTGAGAAAAAACTGGCATAACCAAGTGGCCAATTAGAGGTAGCCAGTGGGGAGGTGGGCTTAGAAGGTGGGGGAGGGGTGTTGCGTGGAGAATCGATGTTTAGAAGCATCAAGAAGGTGATGAAGGGAGGCTCTAGATTGTGGCCTCAGCTTCCAGGCTGTGTAACCAGGGCTAGAGCTCCTCTGGCGAGCTGGGGACTTGTGTAGAGCAGGTATAGAGGGGCTCATTTTCCAAGTGGGCCCCCAGTAGGATCTGACCGTCACAGAGATTCCTGGCTCAGGATTCCCTCAGAGAGCAGGGGCTCTGAACTTCATCCTGCCCAAGGAGCGGGCACCACGCCTCCTCCCTGTCTGAGGCTGACTCCAGGAGTCCTGACCGCTCCTTGCTGACTGTGCTTTGGCCCAGGCCCCATCTTCCTCACATGCTTCTGTCTCCTTCTCTCTTTCCTGGCCCTGCCCCTTCGCCAGCCTGGCTCTGCATGACTCAGCTCAGCCATCAGCCCCTTCAGGAAGCCTTCCCTGACCACACCCCACACACACGTCCCAGCTGAGTTAGGGGCTCCTCCTTGGTGCCGTAGCCCTTACCATGTGACAATGTCACTGCTCAAGGCATGTCTCTCTACCAGTTAGACTGTGCGTTTCTTGATGGGAGGGGGGCTGAGTCTTGTTCGGCACTCCATCTCCAATGCCTAACGTGGAGCCTGGTACAGAGAAGGTGTTTAGTAAAGGTGTCTTGAAAGAATGAGTGGGTTCTCTCAGAACAAGAAGCTTAGAGGTTTACCCGTCTACTTGGCTGGACTAGGACTGGCTGATTGGCAGGTGATGGGGAGGAGGGCTCTGATGGCCAGTAAATGACAGGAGCTTACGCCAAGCACAGGGACAGTCTAGGTCATCTCAGCTGGTTCCACTAGGATGTCACTCCACGAGGGACTCTGTTCTGTTCACTACTGTGTCCACAGCACCTAGACGGTACCTGACACTAGGGGGTACTCCATGACGCCCACTGAACATTGAATGAACTAACGCAAGTCCCCACCGAGTGAGGCTCAGTGGAGCTGAAGCTTCTGGTCTTGCCTTCTTGCTCTGGTCAGGACCAGCTCAGACACCGAGATGCTGAAAGGCCATGGTGAGGTGTGACAAAATTAGATGTAGGTGTCCTCAGGACCTCTTCTTGGTTAGCTGATATGGGGACTGGATGGGAAGGCTGAGGCCAGAGCTCAGTGCAAATGCCAAGATGAGATGAAACGCAAAATCTTTAGAAAAGTGGCCCAGTTAATTCCGGCAAAGCTCTTAGATCCACATGAAACCTTATTTTTTTCTTCCCCCTGCTCCTCCTCACCTGCAGAACCTCACACCCCCTCCGGGCTCCGGGCCCCCCCAAAGTCCTGCCAGCACAACGGGACCATGTACCAACATGGAGAGATCTTCAGTGCCCATGACCTGTTCCCTTCCCGCCTGCCCAACCAGTGTGTCCTCTGCAGCTGTACCGTAAGACCCTCTGCCTTCCCTGTAGCCCAGGCCATGGTCTGGGCCTGCAAAGTATGGTGGTGGGGACTCGGGGGAAATTGTTCTCCCTGGTCAAAGCAGAGCGAGAGTGAATAGGCTCAGGAGTAGGGGAACATCTGGGATTTGGAACATCCGCCCTTCTCTGGGCTTCTGCACCCTCCTGAGCTACCTGTTAGAGCACCTGTCACCTCACACTGACATTTGCCCATTTCTGTTTCCCCCAGTAGACTCTGCACTCCTGGAGGGGAGGGGACATACCCAATTCATTTCTGTATCCTCTGCTGCTCCTGGCCCAGGGCCTGGCACACAGAGGATGTCTGTAATGATTGTTGAATGAATGAATGAGTAAATGATCAGTTATCAGCCCTAAGGCAAAGAGACAGAGCCATACTGTTTGTAGCAAATGGAATTTAATTTGAAACTGCTTAAACCCACACTGCTGTGGTCAGAGTTGGGCCTAGGGACAGTCAGGGCCGACTCTGCAGTGTTAGCAGGAGATAGAGACTGAAGCCAGACAAGGCCTGATCTAGAACGTCTTCACCCTCCTCCTCAGGGGGTCCTAGGTGTGGCCCCGCTGCAGGCTTGTAGGTGGCTTTCAGCATGTCATCCTTACCCTTGGGTTTAGCTCCTCATCTATGCATTGGCAGGAGTTTCTCCTGCCATCCTGAGATCCTTACTACTTGATCACCAAACTTCTCTGGGGCTCAGTTCCTCTGCGTGTGTAGGGAGTCTGACCAGGTGGTCTCCAATGTCTTCTCTGTTTAAAATAATCATCGGATTTAGCAGTGATGTGAGGGGAGGATGCCTAGACTAAGTGTCAGATGCCACATTTGAGCTCCGGCTATGCCATGGTTCCCTGTGTGACCTTGAGCGAGTCACTTCTTTCAGGCCTGCCTCTCAATCTGTTCAGTGAGAGGATCCCATCAGTCTGAGGCTCTGAACCTTAAAGAACCTGTGCTGCAGAGCAAACAACTTATAAATAACGAGGGTGACTTATAAGTCAATCCAGAGAGCGATTATTTTTGCGGGGCCTGAGCCTCTTGCAGTGGTCTAGTCCATTGTATCTATTAGGTTCATGGGAATGCCTTGTGTTTGTATACAGCATCCCAATGACCCTAGGAAAAGGATATCAGATGAGGAAAGTGAAGCCTAGAGCAGTTAAGCAACTTCCCTAAGGTCACACAGCTAGTTAGTGGCAGAGCCAGAATTCAAACCCAGGGTCCCATGACCCCAAACCCCATGGTCCTTTCCCTGCATTGTGCTGCTTCCTATAAAGGGACCAGGGCCTGATTAGGAAGGGGCTGTGGGGAGAGACAAAAAGGATGGTCGTGGGGTGGTGAGAGCATTGTTCCTTCTCCCTGGATACGTGGGTCTCCACTTCCTTCTTCTCATCCCTGTTTATATGAGTCTGGCTTGACTCCTGGCCTCATCTAAGGGATCAGAATCCTTATTTTTGAGACTCCTTGGAGGAGGAGTAGGGAAAGGACTCCAGGTAATATCACTTCCTCCCAGGTACAGTGTGCCTTACAGTTTAAAAATTGTTTTCACAACTGTCCCCTTACTGATCTTTACAGCCCAGACAGGAGTGCCCCCATTTTATAGAAGAGTAAACTGAGGCCCAGAGAAGCGAAGTGACTTACCAAAGGTCATCTGGTCCTCCTGATTCCCAGAAGGCCCTTTACCCTGCAGTCTAGCCTCTCTAGGCTGGGTTCTAAAGCTGGGGACCTAGGGTTTTCAGTAAGAGCAAGATGAGCCCCGGGTGTCCCCCTCCCATCCCTGTCCCCTATGCCGGGCCCCCTGTTCCAGGACAGGGGAGAAGGATGTTGATCTCAGTACAAAAAGTCTGAAGACTGGGCTCTAGTGCATTCGGCCTTGCTGTGCCTGACTCTAGGCAGTCCAGGCTCCTCTGCAGGCGCTCTCCATCTGTAAGATGGGAAGATCCCACTTCATCAGGTGGCTGTGAAAGCCTGTGAAAATGCTTTAGAAGCTAAAGGATGAATGTTACCTCAGGGCCTGGAGTAAGAGTGGGGAGGGTACAGAGACCCCTCCTCTGAGCTGGCTGCACCTTGTCCAGGATGCTCTGCTGCTCCCTCCTTCCCCCACCTCAGGGGAGACCTCAAGGCCACATGCCTCCAGGGCAGGGGACTCTCCTACCTCCAAGGCTTGTCCTTATCAGAGCTCATCTCCCAGCTCCCGTTTGCTCTATCAGGAGGGCCAGATCTACTGCGGCCTCATGACGTGCCCAGAACCAGGCTGCCCTGCACCCCTCCCACTGCCTGCCTCCTGCTGCCAGGCCTGCAAAGGTGAGTCTGTCCCTGGATCTGGCAGTGCCAACCTCCCCAACCCCAGGGACCAAGCCACGGACTGTTAGAGCTGGGGAGACTTTGGGGCACACCCAGCATATAGCAGACCATTCCTTCCTCAAGCGTTGTGGCTTAGCCTGCCCCTCCCCTCCTGAAAGCTGAGCCTGTAGCAGAGGCTGATGTGCACTTTTATTGCAATCCCAGGGAGCAAGAAGGAGAGAAAGGGAGAGTGAAGCAGGGAAGGAGAGAGAAGCAACTAAAGAATGTGTTGGGGAGTTGCTTCTGCTTGCTATCAAGTGTGACCTATTGCTCGAAGTCATCTTCTGTTTCCCAGAAAAGTCTGGGGGTGATAGAGAAAGAGAAAAAATTTGTCCACTAGACACCAACTCCCACTGGTTAAAGGTTCACCCCAATGGTGGGAATTCCCTCGTGGTCTCTCCTTGTATGTCCCCACGTGGGTGCTAGGCTGCCCTGAGAGCAGAAGCAGGAATGGGGTGGGGTAAGAAGTGGGGGGCAGGAGACATGGGCAGGAGGCAAGGGCGTGAGGACAGGTGCTGGCAGGCTGAGCCTGAGGGAAGCCGGCTAGAGCCCATACAGAGAGGGCGCTGCTGCAGTGCCTGTAACAAGTGGTCCAAGTGCCCGTGATCAGATGAGGCTGAGATCAGCAGAGGCACAGGAGAGGGGTCTGCACAGACAGGCACCCCATCTCCTCCTATCTTCCTCACAGCAGAGCTGGGCACAGGTCCGGGATCACTGGGCTCAGAGCACACATGGCAAGCAAAATCCAGGTAGAGTCTCTTCATAGGACAGAGATGGACCAACACATCAGCTAGTGAAGGCAAAAGGCTTAAGCAGAATGCAGTGCACAGATGGTTGAACTGTTGTTCTCTGTGGTCGAACTGTTGTTCTCTGTGGTCGAACTGTTGTTCTCTGTGGTCGAACTGTTGTTCTCTGTGGGCTGAGTTAGTCCAGGAAAGCTTCCTGGAGGAGCCAGGACTTGGGGAGGGGAGTACACTGCCGTAGAATGTTCCCTGGATGTTGGTGTTGTGGAAGGGCACTGGATCAGGAGCCAGGTGACTCCAGTTTAGTCCTGGTTCTTCCAGCTATTTCCTGCAGATTCCTTCCCCTCTCTGGGCCTCAGCTATGCCACATATGCACTGAGAGGTTGGCCTCAGTGATTTCTAAGGGACAGTCTAATTGTAGTGTTCTTGGTCTTTGAACCAAGAATGGTAGGAGGGAGCCAGACTGTATGTGAGGCAGCGGCTGGGGAGAGAGAAGCCCACTCTGGGCTTTTGGAAGTCCCAGGGCTCCAGTGGGCCTTGTGTCCCGGTGTCCCAGGAGGTGGGAGCTGGAGGAGTCCTAGGGTGTCCCAGCTGGAGGGGCAAAAACGGTAGAGCAGGGGGGCTCAGGAGTGCTATGTGTTGACCAAGGCCTGGTGACTTCAAGTGTGTTTGGGCAGAATGGCTGCCCAGTGGACTGCGCTCATCAGGCAGCAGGGATGGGATTCTGGGGCCATCCATGATGGGCGCTGAACAAGATGCTGTGCCCAAGCCAAGCAGTTCAGTCCCCGTGGTGACCAGGAGGTAGTTGTGTGGAAACTGAGGCAGCAACCCAAGGGTGAGGAGCGGCTGTGATGAGAAGTGGGCTAAAGGGACCTGCTGGTGTGTGGGGGCTGCAGAAGCGGCACTAAGCCTTGGAGGGGCAGAGCCTAGAGGCATAGGCCTCCATGGCTCCAGCCAGCAAGGCTGAGGAGGCAGAGGCTGACCCGACTCCCCTTTGGGTTTCCAGATGGGTCAAGTGAGAAATCAGCTGAAGAGGACACCACACAGTCACACCGTGGGGTGGTGAGTGCACAGCTTTACTGACAGGGTGGGGAGAGGAGGTGAGGCGGGCTGGTGTCCAGGGCCGAAGTCGCCACGACTCTGGAGCAGGCAATGCTAGTTATTGTCCTCATTTCTCATTTGTCCCCTGGGTCAGCTCCATTACCCCACCATGTCCAGCCCCTCTCCCTAGCCTCCTGTCATGGCTCCCATCATGACTGATGGGCCAGGAGGGACCTGGGGAAAAGCTCCACATAGGCCAGAGCAGTCTCCAGACTTACTGATTTCGTTCCCGGGAAACTCTTGGACACTGTTCCATCCAGAGCCCATGTCTGTCCTTATTCAGGCCATCTCTGGGCAGCACGTTCCCCTGAGGGATTGGCCTCTGACTGGGGTCAGCCTTCCCCACCCAGCTGCTGAGGTAGCAGTACTTTGTCTGGGGGCTACCTCTCTGTTCCTCCCTCTGTGTCAGCCGCCCTCGGTCTTGGTCTAGAGTTAAGATGGGCTAAACTGCCCAGCTCTCTGTGGTTGGAGAGGAAAGAGGTGGGAGAATGGGCTCACACACTGACACAAGTCCCCATCTTCCACCTGTGCCATGTCTAAATGTGAACAACTCCACCTGCTCTTTCAGCCTGGGTCACCTGGACCCTGGGGGATTGGAGGCTTCCCTTCCCAGAGATTCCCCAAGAGCTGAGCTAACGAACTCTCCCTTCTCCTCTGCCAGCTTCTCCTCCCTTCTCAGGCTGGGCCTTCTCAGGTGGGGGCCTCTGTGCCACAGGACCTGAGCCAGACCATCCCCTCTCCTTCCCATCCTCTCCCAGAAGGCAGCATGCTAAGCGAAGCCCACCCAGGCTTAGTTCCAGGCCCTGAGCAGCTGCTTCCTGGATGATGTGGGCAAGTTGCCACTTGGGGACTGGGTTCTTCAATTCCTTCTTGCCTCTAGTCCACTTGACAAGCATTCCTGGGAGCTTCCTATGTGCCTGGGCCTG